GAATTCAATTATTTTATCATGAGGTTAGAAAAGCTAGTTAAATTAATGGATCATTTTTTTTAATTAGTTTTTTCCTCTTCAATCTCTTTATCTAATAAATGAGGTTATGAATTTTGCTTATTCCATAAATTGAACAGAAGACACATGAATTATGGCTTCAAACATGAGATCATTAACCTTTTTCTGTATCTTTTGAGTCGAAGAAATCAGACGTATAATCCTAATTCAATCAAATACTATGCACTAATAAAGCATTATATACACATTTCTTCTTTCTTAAGGAAAGAAGAAAAATTAGATTAAGTCAACTTAATTGAAGAAAAAAATATTTTCCTACATTAAGTTTGATAATAATTTATTCGATTTGAATCCGAACCCGATCTAATTTAGAATTCCTTTTCTTTCTATTTGGGCCACCCAACACACTACCAGCCCTGATGGGGGGGCCAACCCACTAGCCCAGCTGTTATCTTGTTCTCGCTGTGAAGGTGGTGATCCAAATCGGCTATTATCCCCTCGTAGCCATGGTGATTTGTATGAAGACTACTTCATGGATCGGCAACAAATCAATCGCAGGGTCTCTGTGCAATAAATTTGTGGGGTTGTCAAAGGAGGACTGCTTCCGAGAAGAAAGCAACCGAGACGAAAGAGATGGAAGGCTTCGAGGCCGGCGGCGCGCGGAGCAGACAAAGTAGCCGATGTGCCGCCCGTCACACCCCATCTCGACACGATTCGACACGGTGGAGGTGGCGGAGGCAGAATGACGGCTTGTCGCATGACACGGAGTCCCACTCCCCATCGGCGCACAACACCCTCCGCCCCCTCCCCACCCAAAGCCCACGTGAACACGCCCCGTCCCTATGCGCTCCCTGTCCCTCTTCCTCTGCAGACCGGCGCCGAGACTTCGTGGCCGAAACTGGTGCACACAGCTAATGCATGCCAAGTGTTTGATGGAATGCAGAAACGGGGATGGACAGAGTTAGACGGCGCTCTTTCATCACCAAAAGGTTTTACGTCAGCCGTATGGCGACGGGTGGTGCCCAGCAGTCGCGACGACTTCAATCTGGATCACGTGAACGGGATCCCGAGTTGTCGCTGTTGCGGAAGAGGGCCGACACTGCACCACCTCGCCGTGGAGGCTACCCACGGAAAGCGGCTGTTGATAATGCCCGGAATTGTGGTTGGGGGAATCAAAGACCGTGTTGTGACTCGGAGGTGGCATGCTATGAATTTTCTGTCCAATTAGTGACCTAAGGGGTTACATGCAAAAGATGCATACACAGAACCCGAAGAGAACCCAAAGGTTGCTCATACAAAATGCCACAGAAAGCTCATAAGTCCGACGAGGCCAATTTGTTGTCAGATGAAACAAAGGACATTGGATTTTATGAGCTCCTGTTGTCACCATGTACACAATCTTGGATTGGGCACTCGGGACTGATGTAACATAGTCCAGCCTTTCTGATAAAAAGGAACGTAGTGCAGACAGAAGCTGTGAGTTTGGAGCTCAGAGAAGAATGGGGTGGCAGCATCAGAAAAGCCCAACTCCTGCCAGATTTTTTGTTGGCAGACTGCAAGATTGAGTGAGAGACCACCATAACCAGCCATGGCCAAGGGCTCCACCACCCACACCCTGTTCTTATCACCACCCAACTGTATACGGCAGCAGCCCGACCTGCTTCTGACTTCAAAAAGACCTCACATCACCTGTTCTTCACTTGTTTGCTACTTCATATCCATCTGAGCACTTAAACTCGGTAGATAGTTGTTCTGCTAGCATCTTAGATTTCTTTAGACGAGACATGCATACACATAATATGATCTTTGATATACAAACATGTGTTCTCAAATTTGGATTTTACCAAACATGAATTATGTGTGAACAATTACGTCAGAGACGATGCGACTATATTGGTTTCGGAATCGGAATCGATCGAGATTTGGTCCACATTATTATTTTAGGTGTATCTTAGAAAATATTTTAATTCTTCTCTGTATAATATGTCCAACATATCAAGATAAGGCTGTCAAAGAGGTAAAGTTCGGCAAGGGAGTATGTGTGCCTTGAGAAGATTGCAGTAGTCGGAAGGCATGCATGGGGTAGATTGGGACACTGCATGGGAATAACAACAAACACCTTGGGGGCCGCCTCCTGAGACTTCTTGTACTGGCCGATAAACTCGAGTCCGCACCACTTGTTCTTTTATGTTGCTAAGTCCAAACCTCGCATCATAATAATTATTTCTTGAGAGACCTAAACGTGATATACTGTCTCCTCCACAATCAATTTTGTTGCCTTCCATGTTTTGGACGTGTCTGAGACAAGAGGATATTTATGGGCAGGCCCTGGCCAATTGGAGATATATATAGATATATCTCTTGAAAAGTGTTCTTATTTTTAGAATTTTCTGATGATGTCATTTTCTTCCTAATACTTGTAATACTCTTGATTTATTATTGATTTCCACCTCTTTTTTTTTCTTCTCTTTTTCTATTGATTGGTCTGAGCGAACTGGTCCAGTTATAATGATTTTACATCGTGTTTTCGACAATACAAGAAAAGCACTATAACGTAATACAAAGATATTAAATTATAATATAATATTTTTTTAATATTATATCATTATAATATTTTTTTAATAATATTAAAAAATATATTGTAACATAGCATAAAAATAGTTATATAATTTTTTTATTATTACTAAAAGTATTATAAATAGATCAACTCCAAAAGAGAGAGAAAAGACGTATGTGGATGACTATGATATTCCAAGTATTATGCAACAAGGAATATTCTAAAAATATGGGGCAATTTTTGAAAAAGCTAGAAAAGATGAGTTTTTTCTGGAACTCATGTTATATATAATAGATATCACTTTACAAGATGGGTATTTAAAATAAAAAAATTACTTACTTATTTGCGATATGGAAAATATAATTGACTAACTTCACTGTTTGAAGTATTAATTTTTTTCTTTAATATATTTAATTAAATTAATAATCATGCAATAAACCTATTCTTACTTTGATCTTACAATAACAAGAAAAGATTGTTCTTTTCTCTAGTAGAAGCATTTCATAAGTTCTTCTCTTGAGGATATTATAAGTTACAACCATTTCTTCCTACGCATACATATACAAGAGAGAAAAAATTATTTACTATTCCTAATTGTTTAATTCATAAGTTGCTTCTTTTAGGAAAAAGTTTACATTGCCACTGAACACTTAAAGTAGAATGAGATCAAGCTAGCAATAGGGTTTTCATTTCTTCATCCCATCCGATCATTATGAGTCCAATAAATATGCTATAAGATTAAAGGCAAAACCTAGTAAATTATCAATCCATAATTGATTTTAGGCTCACTCTAGTTGAGCATCTAGTGAAAACAATCTATAAGTTGCTGCATGACAAACAACATTACTCTTAATAGAAAATATATATAGCATAAAATCAAATTATTGTTTATTATATATATATATATATATATATATATATTATGATAAAGGATACACATGACTCTACTCATGATTATGGTATTCTTCAGATATCCATTCAATAGGAAGAGTATTCTCTCAATAAAATAAGATAATTAAAAAAATTATGTATATATCTTTCATTTAAATACTCTAAGCATCATGAGATATGTTTGGATCTATAAATTTACCGGGATTGGATACATATCCAATTAGGATATGTTGTGGTTTCTTTATTACTAATATCAGCAATGTTACTATACCATGAATTACATATAAATTTTAGTTGACTTTTCACATCCTTTGAAAGCCATCGCTATCATGAACGGATGGCTATAAAATTTATCTATTGTCTTACTACAATAATTCATAGATTGATCTTTTAATTTAGAATGACTCGAACTATTTATCTAATTTAAAATTTTTTTGGTGATAAAAAAGGTGTACACCCAAAAGAACAGAATTTGAGTTAAGGGACTCTAATCCTTCATCTCAATTTTGTGTTAACATGTTATAGAAATATTCTAATAATTAGGCGTTGTATGTACCCTTCGCCCTCCAAAGGCTATCACTGGCGGCGTTTGCCCTTTCTCCAAACCCAAACTATGCTCCATACCCTTTCTATCCCTTCCTTTGTCCTTATCCTGCCTCGCACCCTTACAAATACCTCATCTTGACGCCACATCCTTCTTGTCTCTCTCCTGCGCTCCCTCCAATCACGCACCCAGAAACTACATTCTGCTGTCTCCTCCTCCTCATGGACTGCAATCCCACCTCCATCCTCCTGCGCACTCCCTTGGACCTCAACAAGGAGCGAGACGCTGGCGCCGGCGGCGTCGTCTTCAACTCTTCGGTCCTCGGGAACCAAGCCAGCATACCCAAGGCATTCATCTGGCCGCAGTGCCACAGACCCGCCACCATCGACGATCTCGACGCCCCGGTGGTGGACCTCGGCGGCTTTCTCCGCGGCGACGAAGCGTCGACGGCGCGCGCGGTGGAGTACGTCAGGGCCGCCTGCTCCACCCACGGCTTCTTCCAGGTCGCCAACCATGGCGTCGACGCGTCGCTGGCCCGAGAGGCGATGGACTGCGTTGACGGGTTCTTTAAGCTCCCTCTCTGTCACAAGCTACGCGCCCGGCGGAAGCCCGGTAGCGTGTGGGGCTACACCGGGGCGCACGCCGACCGCTTCTCCTCCGAGCTGCCATGGAAGGAGACCCTCTCCTTTGGCTACCACGAGGCCGGCGGCGGCGACCGCGTCGTCGTCGACTACTTCGCTTCCATCTTAGGCCCTGATTTCGATAGGACGGGGTAAGCCATCGCACCATCTTACGATAAGCACGAATCGGCGAAATCCACTGGCATTGCCGCTGAAGCTTTCTTGTACACCAGGCTGGTTCTTCAGAGGTACTGCGAGGCGATGAAGAAGCTATCGCTGGTGATCATGGAGCTCCTGGCAATAAGCTTAGGAGTGGAAAGAAGCCACTACAGAGACTTCTTCGAGGACAGTTGCTCAATAATGAGATGCAACTACTATCCTCCATGTCAGGAGCCGGAGCTGACGCTCGGCACCGGCCCGCACTGCGACCCCACCTCGCTGACCATCCTTCAACAGGACCAGGTGGAGGGCCTCGAGGTCTTCTCCGCCAACAAGTGGCGGTCGGTCCGGCCGATTCGCGACGCTTTGGTGATCAACATTGGTGACACCTTCATGGTACGTAACCTGCTGCCTCTCTTTCTTTCTATAGACAAGACTAATAGTAGTGGAGACGCCAAAGGGCAAACACCATGGAGTAACAGTGCAGAGTTGCTGGTCGCTGTCTCCTCTTCTTTACTGTTTGCTTGATCACGGTAGGACCAGATGGAAACATTAGCATCAAATAATTAAGCCAGGATTAAGCTCAAAAAAAAGAAAAAAGAAAAAAAAAGACACATACATACATACATACATACATACATCATCAACTACACCAATGCTTGTCTTAGGTTCACAGGATTGAGTATGTGCTAGACGACAGGGTTCGATGTGCAGCGCTCAAAATGATGTGGGTGCGTCCCCGAGAGGGACAGCTGCTTATGTATTTTACGTACCCGTTTTATATGTGCTATGCTATAAAACGTGTTTGGCCCAATTTTACTACGAGTGCACTCAGATGCATATATCCTTTTCTAAGTGATTGAAGCGTCCGACTCCAAAACACTATCGAACAGGACGTGTGTTTTGTATTTAATATCTAATGTCTCAGATATTGTACACTAAAATTCGATCTTTGCAAGTTGGTGTACCTATTCAAAGTTTGCTTTTAGATTTTATAGGAAGCTTCCAAAGAAATTAAAGAGAAAAGAGAGAGAGAGAGAGAGAGAGAGAGAGAGAGAACCAAGGAAGAACCTGAATGTTCTATTGCGATGATGAAGAATGGCTCCCATGTCTAATTATTGTATGCCCCCCTGTCTTTGTTCTGCAACATAGGCGTTGTCCAATGGAAGGTACAAAAGCTGCCTGCACCGGGCTGTGGTGAACAGGCATCGGGAACGGAAGTCGCTGGCTTTCTTCGTGTGCCCCAGGGAGGACCGCACCATCCGGCCACCGCCGGGGGACCTCGGCGGCTCGCGGCTGTACCCGGACTTCACGTGGGCGGAGTTCATGCAGTTCACGCAGCGCCACTACCGGTCTGACACGAGGACACTCCACAGCTTCACCAATTGGCTCTCCTCCTCTAACTCCCTCCGCCAGTCCACCTAGAGGTGCAGATCAGGAGGTCACCTGATGCTCTCCGTTCATGTCTTTTCTTTCTTCGTGTACAGCGCATGACAGCAGCGGTAAAGACGAGGGTGATGAACTCATGATTGCATGCAGCACCCATTCTGCATCACATATGTATGGAGAGCTCGATATGATTGGTCGCTTCATAGTGTTTTATGCTTCTGTGTTACAAGTTGAGTTACGCAACTGGATCTGAGGAGGTAAATGCCAAGCCCAGATAAGATCCAAGAGCTCCTCTCGCGAGCTTGTTGTCATGTGCGGGTAGAGAGAGAGAGAGAGAGAGAGAGAGAGACGTTGTCATTGTTAGGGCAGAAGCGACCAACGCGTGTAGTTCGAGGAGGAGATCCAGTATCTCACAAGCGACGACCTATCAAACTCCGAGGTGGGCCACGGAGAGGAACACGATTGTACCAAATATTTGATGAGATGTTGTATTGGCCAACATGCTCCAAAGTCCAAAGTCTTTTTCTGCGCAGGCTGGAACGAGCAAGGGAGGAAGAAGCTGATGCCGTAAGCCTTGGACGCAACCGGGAGAGGCCAGCAATTGGCCTCTCGGCTCCTTTGCCCTTGTCATGCATGCCTTGTATTTTTACCTTGGTTTTGCTGCCTCTTCTTCTTCTTCTTCTTCTTCTTCTTCTTCTTCTGGTGGCCTCACCAATTCACCTTTGGCTTGTCAACAACACATCACATGAAGTCGATAAAAACCTTATACAATGATGCTAAGTGCATATTTGTAGTGATTGCCCACAGAATCCTTCTTGCCTTCAATTATAAAGTGGACTTTACTACAAGAATATCAGTTTACTTGTTGACTGATCACCCTCACATCACGCATCCATGACCATATTCTAAGAGGATATCAATATTTTTATAGAGTGCAGGAAGATTAACTGACGGTCGCATATAGACTCATTTCTCCAATGATGGCTGGCTGGCTGAGTAGATGTCAAGAGAAGGATATAATAATATTGATTTACTTCTTAGAAAACTAGAACTAGTAACAACTGATAATCGAATTTTTTTTCCTGAGTAACATCCATCACAATCCAAACTCAAAATCACAATAAAACAAATATCTTCTAAGTTCTTTGTGGTATTAATCTGATTGTTAACTGTGTGTTGCATGCAACTGAATTGAATCTTGCAGAGAGAGAAGAGAAAGGACTTGCAGAATCAAATCCCTTGTTATATACAAGTATTATACTGTAACAGCCCTACCCTGGCATGAAGATGGACATGATACAAAGTACAAGGAGACAGATCAGACTTTAATCAACTTAACATGTATACGTATGTACATATATGTAGCTTTCTTCTCCCAAAGAAACAGCAGGTTCTACCCACTGATATTGATCATGAGGCTACTGGCTTTGGACGTTTGATGCAACCCCTCCTAAGCTTTCCTACCTTTTCGGAGACCCTTAACCATGGCAATAGTTCTTAATGAGATTGGCCAAGAGCAAAATGCCCCTAATTAGTTCAGAAAAGATCCGAAGCTTGATGCGGCCATGTCTCGGCTTCGTCGTCCCTCCCTTCCTGCCCTCCTTATTAACTCCACTACTGCAGGTTGCACCTCCACCACATCTGGCTCCCTCCATCACTCTCTGAGCACAGAACACGAGAGGAAGAAGAGCAGAAGTAGAGACGGGAGAGGGGAGAGGGGAGAGAGGCGAAGAACTCCGTATATATAAGTGGGTTTGAGAGAACGTTCAACGCGGTTTTCTTCTTCCTGACGACGGCCGCTACGATGAGCTTTGCAGTGCAAAGGGAAGAGGGTGTTGCGAGGCAGCAACCCTAGGACCCAGGTGAATGCGATGGGTGAGAAGCGTTGCAGCCGGACGATCGTGATCTGACGTTCGAGGGAGCCCTGCGAGAAAGCACATGATGCTGCGTGATCTGACGTGGGCCCACGCGGTTCCTGTGGGCCCTGTGGGGATCCATCAAGTGACGACGTTGCTCTTCCTTCCCGGTTGGTTGACCAAGTCATGCTGAGCTCCTCGCTTGACTTGACTTGATTCCTTTGACTAAGAAAAAAATGATAAAAAAAGAGGACTCTGTGGGCTTTGTTTTAATGTTTTGTATATGTACACATAAACACACTCAAGTTTGCTTAGCATATATAATTCCTGTAATAATCAAATTTAAAAGGACATCCTTGGATTTTTTTAATTTTTATTGGTAGAATGTTGTTTGACTAATAGATTAGTGTTGCGAGGTGCGAACCTCTGCCTCTGGCAAGCGATCATCGCCGCTGCAGCCACATTCCCAAACGAGACTCCGCGGTTAGTCCTCATCTTCCTCACCGCGGAAGTCTTCGCTAATCTGCCACAACAGTCTGCGAACTTAAGGAGATAGAAGGGGACACCTATGCCCTCAACAGTCCTGCACGCTGGGACTCAACGGTCCAATGCTCTCCTCCGCGTATACGTACAGCCGCGCCATGCACAGCACCGCGTGGATCGCTGTTGCGTGCACAAACCCAAGCCCTGCTGCATTATCCACCCTTTCCTCCCTTACTCCAACCCAACAGCCACTCCGCACCCCATCCTCCGAGACCCCCCTTTCCACTACGGAGCGAAGCCGATTGAATTCGAGAAGAAGCTTTATTCAAGTAGCTTTAACTTTAATACATTAATATGTCCCTCTCCTATTTATACAGATTATGAGGGAAGATTTTCCTCAACAGAATAGAGGATTTCCCTCAACAAAGTAGAGAGATTTCCTCGTATAGTTGAGTCACTGCTACTGTTGTTGCTATTGTTACGGCTGTGACGGCGACGACTACAGCAAAGGAGAAAGCTGCAGCAATGGAAAAAGCTATAGCAATGCTGTAGCAAAGGAATAAGTTGCAGCAGAGGAGGAAGTTGCAGCGATGTTACAGCAATACTATAGCAGAGGAGGAAGCTACAACAGAGGTGCAGTAGAGGAGAAAGCTGCAATAGAGGTGCAATAGAGGAGGAAACTGCATCGATGCTACAATAGAGAAGAAAGCTACAGCAGAGGAGGAAAGGTGGGGTAGTGCTGGTGAGCGCAGCACTAGAGACACCACAGCGGAAGGGAACATACGTTGGCGCAAAGTGGCAGTGGAGAAGACAATTGCCGTTCGCCGAGGAGGAAAGATCTGTCGCACCGACGACCTGACGATAGAAAAGCAATAGTAGAAAGCTTTTCTTTTGCCGCCGGAGGTGGAGAAACTATAGTGATGAGTCGGTAGCAAGAAGAGAACTTGCTCCAAGCAAATGACTTTGATACCATGATGGAAAGAATAGAAGATAAGAACAATTATTGAAGAAGCTTTATTAAAGAAGCTTTATTGAAGTAGCTTTAGCTTTAATACATTAATATGTCCCTCTCCTATTTATACAGATTATGTGGGAAGATTTTCCTTAGCAGAATAAAGATTTCCTTAGAGATTTCCTGAGAAATCTTATCTTATCTGCTTTCAGATATTATTTAAAAATTTATATTTGTAAGAATTAAAGGAAGAGATATACAAATGTTAATATTTCAAATTAACAAGTAAGATATTTATGAATTTAGTTTATCATTTTTTAATTTTATCAATTATCCAAGTATTCAAAATTAACTTATTCGATTACCTACTTTTAATATGTTAGTATCAAAATCGATCAATAACTTATCTTTGACTCATGTTAATATGATGAGTCTAGTTATACTGGTTGTCTCTTAGTACCAATTGATTTAAGTATTGATTATCTAGTCCAAATATATATGAATATCCATTAAAAAAATATTATCATCTTTATATTAATAAAAAAAATTGATTAAGATTCATCATCAATACATCCTCATTGATTCTTTCTGAATTAATATTTATTTTGTTGAAAAACTTAAATAAAGCATCACATGTGCAATGGAAAAATAGAAAATAAAAATATCAGATTCATTGCAAAAAAATAAATTTCGTTGTCGTATGAAGATTGGTACGCGAAAAACTTACGAAACAAAAAATTACGCATATATGAAAGATGTGTTACCTAGGGAGATCGTATATCCCTAAAAATTTTCAAATCTGTAGGAGAGGATGAAGGAGGTCAGATGTCCTCCTCTCTAGCAGTGATCCATATGGCATATGTGGCGAAGACGCTCCTCAAATCGATGCATAATCTTCCTCTCCACACGCACCATGTGCAGTAGAAAACTTTCGTCGGTTAAAATATGATTTTGTCAAAAACCATTTCGGAAAGATCTTTAAATTGAGAGTGTGTGGAAATGTAGTTGATGTAAAGCAATGAAGGTAGTTTGCAATTAAGATAAATAGTAGAAAGTAAATGCAAACTGAGATTTAGAGTGGTTCGATCAATCTTGACCTACATCCATTTTTGGCTTCCTCCTCCGATGAGGTCACCAACGTCCATTAGAGGCCTTCCTTTAATAGGCGAAGGCCAATCACCTTTTACACCCCTCTTCTCCTTTTACTGGGTTTAGGAGATAACCCTTACAAGCACTCACTCTCCTCTCTAAACAAAAATCTAAGTTTCAACTAGAGGAGGGAATACACTTATGATCGCGATAGCGTTTTCTCTCTTTTAATCTCTCTGTGCTTGTGTGCTTTAACTAGGGATGAGAGGGGTATTCATAGGCTTCAAGTTGATTCAAACTTGGAGCCTAAAACTTTCCCATCCCGGGTTCCCCAGGCACGGGCGGTATCACCGCCCAGTTTCAGTCTAGCTGACATTGCCCTGGGCGGTACCACCGCCTAGGTCTGGCGGTACCACCACCTGGGGGGCAGTGCTGGGTGGTACCACCGCCCAAACTAGCGGTACCACCACCTGGCACCCTGCCAAGGGCGGTACAACCGCCCAGACTGGCGGTACCACCGCCTGACACAGTCTTGAAGATTGTGCCACGACGGTGAGACTTCTTGAGGCACTATTTAGGCTTCTTATTGGGCCCAACACAGTTCTTACACGGGCTTAGCTGGCCCCTAATTGGGTTGGCCCAAATCTAAGCCCAATTACGTGCTAACTACGAAATCCTAAGACATTTGCTAAGCTAAACAAGTCCCTATGTCTATTCTTCTAGCGAGCTTCCGGCGATCTTCCGGCAAACTTCCGACGATCTCTCGATAATGTTCCGGCGGACTCGCGGCAAGCTCCTGGAATTCACGATGATCTTCTTGGCGAGTTCCGACAAGCTTCTCTGGCACGCTCCGAGACTTC